GAACAAACCCTGTACATTTACTCCTACTGTGGGCCCTTGGTATTTGTTGGGGTTTGGTTCCAGGTCCCTCTGTGGATACCAAAATCCATAGATGCTCGTCCCATTAAATACAGTGGCATAGTAAATTGGTGTCCCTTATAGAAAATGGCAAAATTAAGTTTTGCTTTTGGGAATTTATATATTTTTGGAATATTTTTAAGCCATGGAATGTTGCACTCGTGGATATGGAGGGCAGACTGTATATCTCTTCAAGTAAAAGGCCTATGATCTTGTTATTTGCTGAACATGAGAGCCAGCGTAGTGTAATGGCTTCATTGTTAGAATACGACTCTGGAGACCAGAGTTCAATTCTCAGCTCGGTCATGAAACCCACTGGGTGACCTTGGGCAAGTCACACACTCTCAGCCTCAGAGAAAGGCAATAGCAAACCACCTCTTAACAAATCTTGCCAAGAAAACCCCATGATAGGTTCACCTTAGGGGTCACCATATGTCAGAAATTCCTTGGAGGCACACAACACACACAAAGGGAGGGTTATAACACCTGTGAGAAGATCCCCACAGTCACCATCCCCTTCTCTCTTACTTCTGCCACTCATCACTACGTCCTTCACATGTTCTCCCAAAATTGTTTCTCTGATTCAGTAAGGAGGTCAAAGCCAAATTATTTTAAAAGTCTTTCTCCAGATCAGGACGCTTCTAAACTTATTTTGTTTAAAGTCAAAAATTGCCAGGGCTCATCTCTTCCTGTTTTGAAGGCCAGGCTTCATTAAGCCTTGGGTCATGTAGCAACAAGAGAAGCAAAGTGTTTGTAGAAAGGTTTTCCTCCTCAAAGTAGTAACAGTTAATCCCATACTTAAGGGAAATGGGGGCAAATTTTTGCATGAGGGGAGATAGCATGTTAGACTGGTTTTGTTCCAGTGTACACCTGGCCTCCTATTCTTAAACACAGGATAAAGAAAGTGGGCTTTAAAATATTCTTGCCTGGGCAGTTTAATGCTTGCTTGTTTGCTTATTCTCTCTCTCACACTCACATACAAATACTAGGGAATTTTTGCATTTGTTTTTAGCATCTTAATATATCTTATCAACTGTTCCAGTTTGGCAGGGACAGTCCCAATAAATCCCCTTCTCAGCTGCTTTTTAAAATGTCCTGGCTTACTCCCACTCAACTATTGCAAACTGAGTTATAAAGTGCAAAAGCAGTTTGCACTCAAGAGCCAGTGTGGTGTAGTGGTTTGAGCATTGGGCATGACTCTGGAGAGCAGGGTTCAAATTCTGGCGCAGCTATGTAAACCCACTGGGTGACCTTGGGCAAGACCTCTCTCAGCCCCAGAGGATGGCAATGGCAAACCTTCTCGGAGGAAATTTGCAAAGAAAACCTGAGGGTTGCCATAAGTAGGAAATGACTTGAAGGCGTACAACAACCACCACCACAACAATTCTGCAGGAAGGGAGGAGCAAAATCTTGTCCTTCCCAGAAGGCTCAGGCAAAAGCAACCTGCTGTGGTGTCTATAATTTGTGCATTCTTCTTCATTAATAGCTTTTACCATCTTGACCACACTCTGATGTTGCTTGCCACTCTTGTTTCTATTTTCATATGTGAAATGCTGGAGAGTATGGGATCTTAATGTAACATGGTTTCATTATTATTGCATATCCTCGTATATTTCACAAATGGAACAGGGCACATTTGTAGGCCTCCTGATGTCATATTAGCGAAGATCACTGGCTAAAGTCTGCTCCATCCTGAAAGAATATACACTGCTACAGACATTGCAGAAAACAGGATAACTCAGCTGTGACCATTCTATAAGAAAGCAGGGTGTTTCAAGACAAAATGCAGACACCTCTGTCTATGATCTGAGACATGCTGCAGATTATGTTATTTTATTGTTTGCACCAAAAATGCTTAAACTGCTCACTTTTATTTTAAAGGAAAAGAAATCTGATCAAGGACCTGCTCTGGTTCCATAAGGTGGCCTTGTATCCATTTCCTAAAATTATGTTTCTAGTGCACATGGGCAGCTACATACCTATGTACCTCACAGGTATTCCAGATATGTTGTTTTACTCCCAGAGCTCTGGAACTGGGTCTGAATCCAGCTTAAAGAAATTACATAACCAAAAATTTAAATTGGCATAAATTCCCCAAAAGTTAAAAATGACAAGGAGATTTATGGTGAGGCTAAATAAATGTAGATGCTGGACTAAGCACTATTTCTCCACTCCAACCCCATCCTATGCTGCTTCTGTATTGTTGATATGTTAGGCTGGATCTGCACTGCAGAAATAATCCAGTTCGACACCACTTTAATTGCCATGGCGCCATGCTATGGAATCAGAGAACTCTGCACTTAAGCACTCCCTAAGTGGTTTACAATGTGTAAGCCAATTGCCCCCAACAAGCTGGGTATTCATTTTACCAACCTATGGAAGGATGAAAGGCTGAGTCTACCCTGAGCCCCTGGCTGGTATTGAACTCACAACCTTGTAGTTTGTGA